GGTCACACCGTTACAAAACAAGTTTCTAAATAATTATCTGATCCTCTTCAACATATCAGAAGTCTAGAAAGTACAAGTATTTGCTCTAAATGATACATTTGCAACCTCTCTGTTTTTCTTCATAGAGACACCTTCCAGTTCAATAACTTTTGAAAAGAGGGTCACACCGTTACAAAACAAGTTTCTAAATAATTATCTGATCCTCTTCAACATATCAGAAGTCTAGAAAGTACAAGTATTTGCTCTAAATGATACATTTGCAACCTCTCTGTTTTTCTTCATAGAGACACCTTCCAGTTCAATAACTTTTGAAAAGAGGGTCACACCGTTACAAAACAAGTTTCTAAATAATTATCTGATCCTCTTCAACATATCAGAAGTCTAGAAAGTACAAGTATTTGCTCTAAATGATACATTTGCAACCTCTCTGTTTTTCTTCATAGAGACACCTTCCAGTTCAATAACTTTTGAAAAGAGGGTCACACCGTTACAAAACAAGTTTCTAAATAATTATCTGATCCTCTTCAACATATCAGAAGTCTAGAAAGTACAAGTATTTGCTCTAAATGATACATTTGCAACCTCTCTGTTTTTCTTCATAGAGACACCTTCCAGTTCAATAACTTTTGAAAAGAGGGTCACACCGTTACAAAACAAGTTTCTAAATAATTATCTGATCCTCTTCAACATATCAGAAGTCTAGAAAGTACAAGTATTTGCTCTAAATGATACATTTGCAGCATCTCTGTATTATATGGGTGTGTACATTGAGACAACTTAATTAAAAAAAAAAGTATATATACAGTATGCAAGAAATATTTTTCGGTTTTGTACTAACGACTTCATTACCTCTTCCGCTACACGGAGTACCTTTGCAGGAAGCTGACTTGTGTGAAAACTGGAACTTTTCTTGCTCTGTGTCACATCCAGCCTTCTTTCTTTTTGGGAACAGGTATTTTTTGTGGAACAGAATAGAATTTAGATTTGAATTCAGATAATGTTCTTGGTCCAATGCAGCAGGATTATTTTGCATTGTGAAAGAGTATTTGGCTGGGCAAGAGGGGAATGTGCAGGCTGCTTTCAGGCAAGCTTTCATTGTTAAATATGGAGGATTTTTTTTCTGGCATGTTGCTATTTAAATGAGA